ACCCCTGAGTCTCCAAGCGGGAGACTCAAGAGTTCTTGGCTCTTGGCTTCAGCCTGACCCAGACCTGGCTGTTGTGGCCATTTGGAAAATGAACCAATTAGAACTCTCTTTGTCTCTCCTTACCACTCTGCCTTTCAAATTAAAAAAGCAAAAGCAAAACAAAACAGATATACATAGCAATGAGGTAATATACCTGAACTGTTTCAAATGGGGAATGTCTAGCTAGCAACAAGGTGACAAACCAACAAGCAGGTAGAGATCTATAACTGGACCAGGACCCAAGCAAGTAAGGAATAAGCAGACGTGAAGTCAAAGGTCTCTTAGGGGTGGACACTGGGTGTAGTGGTTAAGATGCCACTGGGGATACCTGTGGGGAGCAACTCGGACTAGACTAAGTTACTGGAATTAAGACTTATTCTATGCATCTGCTCTCCCACAATATGGCGCTGGGAGAGGAGGAAACAGCTTCTACACAGCTGCCTCCAGTTCAACCAATAAACTGTAGGACCTGCTCCTGATTGGAGGAGAGCAGTGTACTCGGCGTGTGGGTAGCAGAGTTGGGATTGGTGGAAGAGGACTATAAAGGAGGAGAGAGACAACATGCACCAGGAACATCTATCTGAAGGAACACCTGTGCAGCCCCCGAGAGAGCCAGTCGGCAGTGTGCCTCTCCCCCGCGGAAGTGGGGAAAGTGGCAGGGGGAACCGCCCTTCCACGGAGGTGGAAGGGATGGTAGCCAACCCGGGAAGAACCAGCAGCAAACCTGGGGAGGGCCGAGCAGACAAAAGAACAACGCAGGGTTTAGTGTCATTCCTCCACGAAGAGGGGGAGCAACATAATGGTGCCGTGACTCGGATATGAAGCCTAGGCAGGGTTTCGTGTCGTTCCTCCACGAAGAGGGGGAGCGACAGATACCTGTACCCCTTATTAGAGTACCTGGTTCGAGAGTCCCTGCCATGCTTCCGATTCCACCTCTGGCTAATGTGCACCAGCAGAGACAACAGATGATGGTTAAGTACTTGGGTCCCTGCCACCCGCAGAGAAGACCTGCCATGAGTTCCAGGATCTTGGCTTCAGCCTGGCCCAACCCCAACTATTGCAGGTATCTGAACCAGTAGATAAAAGAAGATCTCTGTCTCTCTGCCTTTCAAAGAAATAAAAAAATAAAAGATTTGGGAGGGGGGAGTTTTCTGTCTTTCCTAGAAACACACTTACGGCAGAAACTGGTCAAAAGTTAAAAGCTTTGTCCTTTTATCTGCTTTCTTTTTTCATTTATTTGGAGGAACAGGATAAGGATCAGTGGTGAAATATTAGGTGAGAGAAAGGTTCTCATGCTTTTTCATACTAGCCAATCCTACTAATGATACTCTGTGCCACAGACAAGGGGAAAAATGAAGGGAACGTGCCAGGGTTTGTGGTAAATCTTCTAGGGACAGAGAAGAAGGAAACAAGAAAATCCAAGTAAAGCCATTGGAAGCCAGTGCCTGTACTATCTGGATTGGATAATTCCATGATGGTCATGGCGATAGAAATGGACAGTCTGATATAATTTAGAGACCTTGAGGAAATATGCGTGTCTAAGTAAGATAACCAAATTTTTAAAACTCAGTTAAAAATTTAACCATCAATTTTCCCATATAATTTATAAACTTTTTCATACTTTTTTTAAGATTTAATTAAGTATTTTAAAGGCAGAATGCCAGAGAGACAGACAGAGGGAAAGACAATCTTCCATCTGCTGGTTCACTCCCCAATGGTCAAAACAGCTGAGATTAGGCCAGGCTGAAATCTGGAGCAAGGAACCCCATCTGGTCTCCCCAAGTGGATGTCAGGAACTCAAGTCCTTGAGCCATCATCTGCTGCTTCCCAGGCACATTAGCAGTGAGCTGGATCAGAGGCAGAGTAGCCAGAACTCTGATATGGAAGGCAGGCATTCCAGGAGGCAGCTCAACTAACTAGATCACAATGCTTTGGCCCTCAATATACTATTCTCTCTTTCTTAAAGATTTATTTATTTGAAAGGCAGAGTAACGGGGTTGGGGGGAAGAGATCTTCATCCACTGGTTCACTCCCCAAATGGCCTCCACGATTGGGGCTGGGTGAGCTGAAGCCAGGAGCCATGTCTCTCATGTGGGCCATCTGCTACTTTCCCAGGTGCATTAGCAGGGAGCCAGATCAAAAGCAGAGCAGTAGACTCACCCCAAGATACTATTTATGATTACCTAAAACTTGTCATTTTTTTCCTCAGGATCAATAACCTAGTGAGTGTATAATACTGGTCTGCCTACCAAATTTTACTTTATTCCATATATTAATAACAGACCTGCTACAGAAGCAAAATGGAGAGCCAGTGTTGTGGCATAGCAGGTAAAACTGCTGCCTGCAATGCCAGCATCCCACGTGGGTGTTGGTTAGTGTTCCAGGTGCTCCACTTCTGATCCAGTTCCCTAGTGGCCTGGGAAAAGCAGCAGAAGGCCCAACTGCTTGGGCCCCTGCTACCCATGTGACAGACCTGGAAGCAGCTCCTGGCTCTGTCACGGCCATCTGGGGGAGTGAATCATCAGATGAAGGATGGCCATCTAAACTCTTTCAAATAAGTAAATCTCTGAAACTCTCTCTGAAACTCTTTCAAATAAGTAAATCTTTTTTTTTAAAGTAAAATTAGGTCTATTTTAGGTATTTTGAGAAATTTTGAACATTCCAAGACACTAGGCCATTAGGGTAACTCACTGTTATGGTATATATTAAAACGGTATGGGAGCAGGTACTCGGTGCAGTGGTTAAAATGCTGCTTAGGATATCTGTATTCCCTATCAGTATCTGGGTTCCAGCCCTCTCTCTGTTCCATAGCACAACTTCCTGCTAATGTGCACTGTGGGAGACAGCAGGTGATGTTCCAAATACTGGGGTCCCTGCAACCCTTGTGGGAGACTCAGATGAGGTTTAGAGCTCCTGGCTTCCACCTAGCTCAGTACTGGCTGTAGGCATTTGGGGAGTAAACTATCAGGAATAAACCCAGGAATACAGGCAGTCACTAGAAGTTGAAAAGAGCAAGAGAACAGATTCTCCCCTCACAACCTCAAGAAGGAACCAATTCTCCTGATACCTTGGTTTTAGCCTAAGCAAACTGATTTTTTTAAAAAAAGATTTATTTATTTGAAAGGCAGAATTAGAGAGGGGAGAGAGAGAGAGAGAGAGATCTTCCATCTACTGGTTCACTCCCCAAATGGCTGCAATAGCCAGAGCTGGGCCAGGAATGGGTATAGGGGCCCAAAGACTTGGGCCATCTTCTGCTGCTTTCCCAGGTGCATTAGCAGGGATCTAGATCAGAAGTGGAACAGCCAGGTCTTGAACCGATGCCCACAAGGGATGCCAGCATCGCAGGCAGAGGCTTAACCTGCTATACCACAATGCCGCCCCTAGGAAATTGATTTTTGACTTCTGATCTCTAGGATTACGAGAAAATAATCTGTGTTGTCTTAAGTCACTAAATTTGTAGTAATTTTGTTACATGATTGAATTTAAATGAAATAGAAAACAGGCAAAACAAATTTATGGTTTTAGAAGTCAAGATAATAGGGGCTGGTATTGTGATGCAGGGGGCTCACTGGCTGATTTGCTTCTGATCCAGCTCCCTGCTAAGTCAGCAGATGATGGCCCAAGAACGTGGGCCCTTGCTGCCCATATTAGAGACCCTGATAAGAGTTCTATGCTCCTGGCTTTGGCCTGGCCCAGACCTATCTATTGCAGCCATTTGGGGAGTGAACCAGTGGACAGAAAATCTTTTCCTCTCCCTGTCTCTCCCTTTCTGTTACTGTGGCTTTCAAATACATCAATCTTTAAAAAAAGGGGGGGGGGGGAGGGGAAGATTTACTTCTGGAGAGGAAGAATATTAAGGGAAAAGGAGGATAAGCCTAAGATGCATGCATCCTGCAACAGAGCACCTAGGTTCAATTGCCAGCTCCAGCTCCTAACTCCAGCTTTCTAATGCAGAATCTGGGAGACAGTGGTGATGGCTCATATAATGGGTTCCTGGCTCCCTGGCTTCAGCCATGCCCCAGCCCCAGCCTTTGTGGGCATGTAGGGAATGAACCGGTGGATGGAAGCATGTTCTTTCTTCCTGCCTCTTCAACAAATAAATATTTTTAGGAGGACACTGGGGTGCTCATATTCTCTGTGTGTCAATCTGAAGGCTGGTGGTATAGATATGTTTAATTTGTGCAAACTCTTAGTTACAATCTTCTATGTGTATAGTATATGCAATTTTTAATTGGTTTCTTCTCAAACTTGCCAGTCTGGTAATCTGCTAAAAAAGATGGATATATATTCAAGGGGATGGGGAAAATATTTACTAAACAATATCTTTATTACTCAAGTACTTTAAAGGTTTTGCTTCTTTCTCCAAAAGATTTAAAAAATTTTAACAAGTGGCATATAGTTAACTTTGTTTTTAAAGATTTATTTATTTATTTAAAGTCTGAGTTATACAGAGAGTTATCCATCTTCTGGTTCACTCCCCAATTGGCTGCAACAGCTGGTTGCTGCGCTGATCCGAAGCCAGGAGCCAGGAGCCAGGAGCTTCCTCCGGGTCTTCCCATGCAGGTGCAGGGGCCCAAGGACTCTGGGCCATCTTCCACTGCTTTCCCAGGCCATAGCAGAGAGCTGGACTGGAAGTGGAGCAGCCGGGTCTCGAACCAGCGCCCATATAGGAAGCTGGCATTGCAGGTGGTGGCTTTACCCGCTACGCCACAGCGCTGGCCCCTAGTGACTTTTAAATGTTAAAAAAATAAGCTAAAAGTAAATCAATGCATAATTAGCTTTTTTATACCTTGATCCCAGGATTTTTATATTACAAGTAAAACCACATTTTCTAAAATAGCAGTAAATACAAGAGAAAGGCAGGTACCACACACCAAATGATATCTTTTGGGCCTAACATTCTTGACACTAGCAAAAATGGGAATAGAAATCTCCCTATAGATCATTAAATATAAAAACAATTTATAAAACACACCAGAATTTTATTGCTTGAAGAATACAGCATATGAAATCACAAGAATGTCAAAACGAAAAGTCACTAGGCTTCAAACATATAATACATTATCAGATGCAGTAAAATATAATTAACCTGAATTCTGCATCAGAAAGAAAAAAGGTATGGAAAAATATCTAAGTTTACTTGAGAAAGATATACTTAAAATAGAAAGTATAAGGATGTTACAGTACAAATTAGAAAAGCCAACACTTATTAACTTATTATTTCTCTAGACTAGACTACCTTTGGTACTTAAACTTTTTAAAAAACAATTCCTCCTACCTCATCCAAATGCACTTCATGCATATGACATCCATGAAGTAACTTCAACTTAAAACATTCAGCAAAATTAACCTTTTTGTTATACAGGAAAGTGTCCTTAATAAATGTACAAGATTTTCCTTTATCTAAAACCATGAAAATATGATCATTAAGAAATTTAATACTTTACTTATATACCTTCCAATTAAAATTGGAATCCTGGCAGCCACAATCTATTTTTGGGCTTGGTAATATAGAAATTTAAATGATTTGGCAATTGACAGAAATTTAATTACTTCATACTACCTTAAGTGGCTTTTCCTTTCTGGTTCCAAAATACAAATATGCCATTTCTTCAACACACTGGATTCCTATAATAATCACTACCACACTTTATTGGAATCAAATTAAAGCTTCTCCCTTTTTACGAGCAGGTTGAAACTATGTTTCACATAGGGCTGATCAGTTATGACACGCTTTCTTAAACAAAACCAATCTTAAAGCTATCACTCAATTATGATGAAGGGGACGATGATGCCATTTCAAAAGGTAGCATTGGACTCTCTAGGCCATCTAGTCAAGAAAATGCAAATATAATGCTAAAAACAAACAATAAGTAAACTATAAGTTAAATTAAAAAACAAAACCCTCTTTCATAACAAGCATGCTCCTTAACTTTCATTTCTTTCCCCTAGCAAAGCTTTGACTATTAACGAACCTCAGTTAAACCTCAGAACGCAAGCAATTGTTTCACAAGTCCCACCTATATATTTTGAATAATATAAACATGGAAGGACTATATGCAAGTAATACTATTAACAATTATTGAACTGGAGTGAAACAGTAAGAATCATGACAGTCCTCAAAACTGGGCAGTCTTTGAAATGTAATAGTGTAGCTCAAGATGAATTATGCCATATTAAAACTATAGCTTTTATCTTTACACAAAATGAAACAAAATCAAAAACATAACCCACACCAAATTTATACAACCAGTATTAAACATACTTCTTCCTCATTTTTGAATGTCTTATTTTGAAGTTTTTCTCAACAAGTATATTTATCTGAGCATATATATTTACTCATTTTAAAAGACAAAAAATTCAGATACTATAGAACTGAACTATTTTTTTACCAACCTGATCCAATGTCTACTGCCTCACACAGTACCCCTCCCAATAATTTAAAATTCCGAATTTTTAGTTTAGTTAAAAGGGCAAAGGAAACACAAATGTAGATTAAGAGCTTCTGTATAAATTTCACTGTATTATTATAAACTCGAGGTTTTCTGTAACACTGTTTATTGATCAAATAAAGGATTCACTGCTATCTAAAATTTCATAAACACCATTAAAAATTCAAAATTGATATTATACTGAACCTTAAATTTTCAATAGTTCAAAGAGACAGTTTTTACATATATAGCACACAATAGATGAGATTTAACAGCAGACATCTCTAGGATACCAATGGTAAGTCCACCAAGATGCATACAAAATTACAGATAAGCATTTCTTTCACTGTTTTGTTGTGCATGGAAAAACATTTATAGAGGAAATAGAAACTCAGCTGCTGAATTTCAGATATCATCATCGTCTTCTTCATCCTGAGAAGATCCTGCCTGATTGGACGCACTGGCTGAGGCAGCAGCAAGCTGGGCTTGTTGGGCAGCCTGCTGCATTTGAAGCCATTCCTGTTGGGCCAATTCTGCTTGTTGCTGTCTAGCCTGAACACCAAAAACACAAAAGCAAATAATTTTTAAAAAATTTCAATACACATTTTGGTTAAATGTAAATTAAGCCAATAACAAGTCACTTTCAAATTCAATAATTTCATGTTACTATATAATTATCATACAAATGGAAAACATGAACTCGATAAGAAAAGATTGCTTAGAAAAAAAGATTTATTTATTTACTTGAAAGTCAGAGTTACATAAAGAGAATGAGAGTCAGAGAGAAAGAGATCCTCCATCTTCTGGCTTACTCCCAAACAGCTGCAATGGCCAGGGCTGGACCAGACCAAAGCCAGGAGCCTCATCCAGGTCTCCCCATGTGGGTGGCAGGGGCCCAAACACTTGGGCTATCTTCCAATGCTTTCCCCAGGCCATCAGCAGGGAGCTGGACTGGAAGTAGAACAGCCAGGACAGGAACCAGTGCCCATATACGATGCTGACATCACAGGCGGCAACTTTACTACTAGGTCACAACACTAGCCCCTGAAGATTGCTTTTCTACCAAACGCATGGGTCTAAGTAGTTTCCCAAACTTGGTTCTCTTTAAGTGGTTCCTTTTCATGACCTTTTGTTCAATTTAAAAGTTGAAGTAGTTGACAGAAAAATCACAATGGTCTCCTTTTTGCTCCTTTACTATATTTCTCTCTTCATTTTACTTTCTATCCCTTCAAAATACAATTTTTATATAGACATTTTTTAACCTAAAGTTCTCTACTGTAGTGGTTTTAAACCTTAGGGGGAAAGTACTAATACAAAAACACAATAGCTACCCTGTTATTCCTTTTGGTTTTTTAAAGACTTATTTATTTATTTATTTGAGAGGCAGAATGAGAGAGAGTTCTTTCCACTGGTTCATTCCTAAATGGCTGCAATGACCAGGGCTGAGCCAGGTCGAAGCCAGGAGTTTCTTCCAGGTCTCCCACATGGGTGCAGAAGCCCAAGCACTTGGGCCATCCTCTGCTGCTTATCCAGGCACATTTGCAGGGAGCTCGATGAGAAGTGGAACAGCCAGGACCTAAACTGGCACCTATATGGGATGCTGATGCTGCAGGCTGTGGCTTTAACTTGCTGAGCCAAGTGTTGGCACCCCTGTCATTCCTGTCTAAGTTTCGATCACAATTCCCCACACCTGTGCTTCAAAAACAAACTTAAAACATAAAATGTTTCCCAAAAATACACCATACTTTTTTAAAAATTTATTTATTTGAAAGGCAGAGTTACAAAGAGGTAGAGGCAAAGGCAGAGAGAGAGAGAGAGAGAGAGAAAGAGAGAGAGAGAGAGGTCTGCTAGTTCACTCTTCAAATGGACACAATGGCTGGAGCTGAGCTGATTTGGAGCCAGGAGCCAGAGCTTTTTCCAGGTCCCCGACACGAATACAGGGACCCAAGGACTTGGGCCATCTTCTACTGCTTTCCTAGGCCATAGCAGAGGGCCAGATTGGAAGTGGAGCAGCTGGGTCTCGAATTGGCACCCACATGGGATGCCGGCACTGCAGGCGGCAGCTTTATCCACTATGCCACAGCACTGGCCCCAATACCATGCTTTTCCATCTTTACTACCTTTACTTCTGCTCATAGTCACACTCTATTTGAAATTTCCTGACTTCACCTCCTGAAATTTTAACCCTTCCTTCAAGTCAAATTGAAATACTGTTTTATCTTCCTAGAATCAGTCAAGGTGTAATCAGGAGATCAAAGTCATACTAGTTAAGAGAATACAAACAATTTAATAAAAGACTGTTAGCAGTACAAAGTTGGTACCAGGCAACTGAAAACATAAGAAGTAAACAGTAAGATATTATGTAGGAAATAACTATAGCGAGCAGCCACCAATCCCAAAACAGAAGGAACAAGGAAAGACACTAGAGTTTCAAAAATATAGAAGTTTAGAGGAACCATTCCATGAAATGGAAACTCAGACCTCTGAAAAAGGGTCATATGAACCAGCTATAATATCTGAGTTTGGAGAAAGACTACAAGGGTTGGGATCAAGCTGGCTTCTAAATATTAGAGAAAATACAAACTGGATTCAGTTCCAGCTACAGGAAAAACTGAGGCAGCCAGAGTGAATGCAGAAATGTTGGATTGCTCAAAGGAACTGAAAACCAGGAGGAAATAAAACCAACAAACCCCTTCATCCTTCATCCTTGCATTTTCCTTCTTGAGACCCCTAGAGGGACAGAATCTAATCATACAGAGTCAGCTGGCAAAGCAAATGTGGTTTGCAGAGTATAACAGCCATTCCATCCCTTCCATGGTTTCACTTTTCGGGTTTCAATCCCTGTAGTCAACCATAGGATCAAACACAGTCTGAAAATATTAAGTGGAAACTTCCAGCAATAAAAAAAATCTGTGAGTTTAAATTGCATGTTATTCTGAGTAGCATGATGAAATCCCATGCCCGGAGCAGGCATTTGGTATAGAATTCAAGACACCTGAATTCTATCTTAGAGTACCTGGTTCAAATCCCAGCTCCTCCACTTCTGATCCAGCTTCCAGCTAATGCACACTCTGGGAGGCAACAGGCGATGACCCAAGTTCTTGAGTCCTTGCCACCCACTTGGGAGACCCAGAATGAGTTCTGGGCTCCTGGCTTCAGTTTGAACTAGCCCTAGCTGTTGCAGGCATTTGGGGAGAGAACCAGCAGATGGACGATCTCTCTGTCTCTCTTTCAAATGGAGTGAAAAGAAGAATATTTGAAAAGAAAGAAAGAGACTGTACTCTAAAAAGAAAGAAGGAAAAGATGGAGGGAGGCAAAGAAATCTCAAGACATCTGTGGGGAGCAACTCGGACTAGACTAAGTTACTGGAATTAAGACTTATTCTATGCATCTGCTCTCCCACAATATGGCGCTGAGAAGGGAGTAAACAACTTCTACGCAGCTGCCTCTCGCCAACTTGAGTGATGACCTGCAGGAGCTGATCCTGCTCCTGATTGGAGGAGAGCAGCGTACTCAGCGTGTGGGTAGCAGAGTTGGGATTGGTGGAAGAGGACTATAAAGGAGGAGAGAGACAACATGCACCAGGAACATCTAAGGGGAACATCTATCTGAAGGAACACCTGAGGTACATCTGAGCAGCCCCTGAGAGAGCCGGCTGGCGGTGTGCCGCTCCCCTGCAGAAGTGGGGAAAGTGGCAGGGGGAGCCGCCCTTCCACGGAGGTGGAAGGATCGGCAGCCAACCCGGGAAGAACCAGCAGCAAACCTGGGAAGGGCCGAGCAGACAAAAGAACAGCACAGGGTCTAGTGTCGTTCCTCCGTGAAGAGGGGGAGCGATAACATCTAATTCTGTTAGTACTAATCCTAATACCCTTTGTCCAGGGTATTCATGCTGTACTTGCTACCCACCTATGAATCACTTAGTAGCTATCTCAGTTATGGAACCACAGGGCTTATACTCTTACACAGCATTGAGTACTATCCGTGAGTTGAGGCATCCATTGAGGGTTCTCAGAACATATCCACTGTGGACAAGATGAGACTATCTACCAGGGTGATCACAAAGCACAGTACAGAAGGGTGTTTTGGGTTATAATTGCTTAGTAACTGGCATACTCCTCATCAAAGTAGTCAGCCCGATAGTACAGTTGTTAGTATATTTATATATATATATTTAATACTTCTCCTATAAGATACTAACTTTCTTAAGAATGATACATGCTTCATCTTTGTAAATTTGTAGCACTATTTATAATATATCTGTATTATACAGTAAGACTCAGATGTTAATTCAATTTTGACTTAACAATTTGTTCATCATGAAGGGTAGGGGTCAGTTAGTAAGTAGTATGGGTATAGGTGATGGTAGTGAAGTAGAAAAATAAATGTTATTACTCTACAAAAAGCTATCAAAGCAACCACAGTATCAGAAACTAAAATAGGAGGAGGTCTATGTCAAATGTTATTAAACTCAAGAGTGACAATTAGGCTGGCGCCGTGGCTCAATAGGCTAATCCTCCACCTAGCGGTGCCGGCACACTGGGTTCTAAGTCCGGTCGGGGCGCCGGATTCTGTCCCGGTTTCCCCTCTTCCAGGCCAGCTCTCTGCTGTGGCCCGGGAGTGCAGTGGAGGATGGCCCAAGTCCTTGGGCTCTGCACCCGCATGGGAGACCAGGAGAAGCACCTGGCTCCTGCCTTCGGATCAGTGTGGTGCGCTGGCCGCAGCGTGCCAGCTGCTGCGGCCATTGGAGGGTGAACCAACGGCAAAAAGGAAGACCTTTCTCTCGGTCTCTCTCACTATCCACTCTGCCTGTCCAAAAAAAAAAAAAAAAGAGTGACAATTACAATTAGAGAAAAAAGTCACTAAATCAGGTGATCAGATGTCCCTGGTAGGACAGAAGTCAGACTGTAAGGAGTAAGTGGCATACATTTTAGAAAGAAAATAACATGAATCATTAGAGCAAAAGATGGGGAGGCTGGTGGGGAGGGCAAAGACTCATATACGATTAAAGGAAAAGAGGAAGAATATTGCAGTTATTAGAAAAAAACACTGGAAGTCTGGCATTGTGACACAGCAGGTTAAACTACCACCTTTGACACTAGCATCATATCAAAGAGCCGTTACAGTCTCAGCTACTCCACTCTGAATCCCTGTTAATGAGCTTGTGAAAGTATCAGAAGATGGCCCAAGTATTTGAGCCCCTGCACCCACATGGAGACCCAGATGAGCTCCTGGCTCCTGGCCTCAGCCTGGCCTGGCCCAGCCCAGCCCCAAATATCACAGCCATTTGAGAAGTGAACCAATGGGAGAAAAAACACTGTCATTCTTTGTCAATCTGCCTTTTAAAAATAAGTAAAATAAATCTTAAAAAAAAAAAAAATCACAGGGCAAACCAACTTTGGGAATTTAATCAACCTAAGAATTCCTACTGGGGTAGGCATTTAGCACAAATTTTTTTAAAAGCAGCTTGGGATGCTTGCATCCTCCCTTATCACAGTGCCTGGGTTCTAGTCTCAGCTCTGCTTCTGATTCCGGCTCCCTGTTAACACACACCT